CTTCATTACATTTTAGAATTCACAAGAATTATTTGAGTCTCCATAGTTCAAAAGGCCTGATGGAAAGAAACAATACGTGAAATATCTGGTCCGTGACAATTGCAATTACATCAGGAACATTGATGCTCTACCATCTGCCAAGTGCTCATGACGTTGTACAATAAGAAGCTTTTTGTTTTCAATAAAAATTTGGAACTTATATCATATATTACGTACATTACATTATTCGTGTGCTGTGTTGTGGGAATGAAGGTGAACACAGGAGGCGGTTGGGGTAAATACAGAAGCGTTTTAAAAGTGGGCGCTTAATTACATCGGTGTGCATGTAGTAGAAAAGTAGACAATTCGTCGGATATTTAGGGTGCGAATCGGAAATTCGTCGAATATTTAAGGTAAAAGTCGGCAATTTAGCGACATTTGAAAAACAGAGCGACAGAAAGGGGAAATTTCGCTTTATTTCCCCTTTATTGGTTGTATGGGGATGAACGTGGGTGTTAGTAGTTGTTTATAAATTTTAATTGAGAGTCAAACTATTCATGAATCTTGTAATGGTAATAATAATCATTCCATGCGACGTTCCTAATGGAAGTTTGTTTTTCTATAGCAGGGCAACAAAGAGTAAACGCACTGGAAATAGAGGAAGAAGCCCTACGCGATCTGAACGAGCAGAACAATGAATAAAACTATTCTGTAGAAAGTTTCCCCTTTTGCACTCAACCGTGTCTTTCAATTTTAAAAATATATATGTTGTACCAGTACATTGTGTTCTTACTTTGACGGCACTTACCGGTCCTCACTGTAGTGTTGTTATTTCAGATCGCTCCTGCTTCAAAGTGGACGTCAATATATAACGTGCTACATTACGATATGAACTATTAATATACAGCCGTAAACAGTTTAATCCATGATAAGTATCATCGTTGTTAACTGGACTGATATGTTATTACGTAATGTGAGAAAAAAAATATGTTAGTAACAATTGGTGTTGATAGATTTTTCTGTCCGCTTTCTGAATTTATACAGAAATTGTGTAGAACATTACTGTAAGTGCCACATAAATTAGCCAAATACTCTTCTTAAGTAAAGCGATGCGTGTTTGTTATGAGCATGGTAACTAAAACATGTAGATAATACTATTTTACGATGTCTCGTATAGGGTTAAAATATAAATTTCTGCTAACAGAATCCGAAATCACTGACTAAATCATAAACAAAGTGTTAATGCATGTTGACGGGTAATCGCTAAATAGTGGTTACCAGTTATTTCATTATTGTATGTAAACAGTATTATGAACGGTGTAATTGGATTTTTCTCAAATTTCATATAACTAATTAAAGTTTGTGAGTCCCTTCGTTTGGTGCCTGAAGTTTGTTTGTTAATACCGAATAACTAGATGAAATTGTAGGAAGGTTAGAAAATGAAGAGCACTGTTTACAGCAAGTAAAACACTTACAGGTACATCCTATCAATTGCTATTTCATTTACTTATGGAACTTGATACTGATAACGAAGTTTAATCTTTTCTTTCACGATTGATTTGTTGTTTTTCAGAATTGCATTGAACAAGCTATCCATACATTTTGTTATACAACTTATGACTTCTGTCAACTAATTGAAAGGCTCAAATCTTTGTAATAATCAAGTCTATGCAGGTGAACAACTTGACGAATTTCTTAATATGGAAGTTTATGCGGAGAAACAATTCACACATTGACGATAACTGTGTTTTGTATTGACCACTACCGCGTTTATTCATCTAATACGTTATCTAAATACAATATAAATATAACAACTGTAGTTTTTCGCACTTTAAATCTTTACAGTATGTGTATAGTCTAGTTAGGTACTAATACTACTTTCATAATAGACGTTGTCCGATAACGGTAAATTTATAGTTTGATTGCCTAGTCTGTAAGATCTTACGTGAAAATCGCATCACTATCTACACTGACCCATCGTACCGCGACAAATAACAATACTTAGTACTTCTGAAGAACACATTTATGCTTGGGATAGAATAATATATTTAATGTGAATATAAATAAGTTAAACATAATGAGCGCGTCTGCAACACTGACTCATGCCATTCGATTGAATGAATATCTCCACGTTCACCACTTCCGACCTTCTCCAAGTGTTACATCCTTTTAGTTATTATATGCTTGATTCCGGAGACCATGTGATTAGGAAACAATGCCACTCCAATTATTCATCCGAATATACTGATCGTAAATAGGACTGCAGGAAGAGAAATGTTTGAGAAATGGCAGTCTTACCTAATTATTGATTTTTAAGTGATAATTGTCTACTTTTTTCTCCACCACCATGGCGAAGTGTTCACCATATTTTTCAACTATCTGTTGTTTATGAACTTTCTGGCTTCTTTGGATTCGTATATACTCTTCACTCCGTCTGGGTAATGATGTTGTATTATAATGGAAGTTATGCGTGCTATTTAACTTCCATCGGCTGCATGGTCTAAGTATGTGATGAGCTAATTAGTTTATTTCGTAGTTGATTAAGCTTACCTGTAAGAGTTGGTCTTTTTACATATGTCAGTATTATATGACGTCAGGGATATCGACAAGCCATAAATGTTCGACAATTACACTCGCAAGTGCCTGCATCTAGTTCATAACACCACAAAACTGTATTTAAATCGCACGTCCTTTAGCAGTTTACTTTCGCCGTGAATGTTATGTGTACGGGTGGTCTGAAAAGGGATGGAATTATGCATCCATACTTTTTGGAACTCCTTAAACACACCATGGAATTCAATCCAGTTTCCAAAACGCCTGCTCAGTATTATGCGTTGAAACGCCTCACTTAAGTCGACCGAAATGTTTCTGGAACATAAATTACCACAAACATTACTGGTTAATTACTGAAAAAACAGCCATTTCATGCGATAATACTCCAGTAACTGAAGAAAGGACTACAAGCATTTAGGAATTACGGGTTACTCGTCATGTCGTCTTAATTCTTGCAGAAAACAAGGATTCACACAAATTCATAGTATCTTTAACTGATAATTTATAATGAATACGCAGTTTTGCGGACCCCAACGAATTTTAAACAAGGAGAGTGAGGTTCAGTAGGGTAATTGGTATCCCAGGTCAAGTTACGTAGCAACAAGAGTCAAATTGTACACTACAAAACACAGTAAGCACAATAAATGCTTTTGGCATTGATTTTGTGAATTTGCTACAGCCAAAAAAGACGCGAATACAAGAAAACCTGATATTCGTGCAACCCAGAGGACAACCAACCGACCCACAACAAATCAAATACGGAATGACCGCCTCGTGCCAGGCCGTTCAAGGTCGCAAAAAGGAAACGGCGGGCAGGTTTGAAAACGCACTGACTTATTTACCTTGCCTTACTACTGCTATTCCAAAGCCTTGACATAATTAAAAACTCAAATTTAATCTTATAAATTTTTCAATGTATCGATAAGACAATTAGTAACATTATTATTCAATGTGACATACCTTATTAGTTGAAATTAGACATAAATCATATGACTGTCAAATAAATAGAACAATGTCATTATTAGTATACCTATAAAAGAAAAAATGGTGATTGTTACACAATAATTAATTGTTAACTATTTTAATGACATCATATGAGAATAATTGGTATAGATATACTAAATGAAACCCATATTGTTGTAGTTTTCTCTCTTATTCCATAGAATCAAGTTTCCAATAACATTTATCATCGGAACACATTCAAGTGTTATACAGATTGAATTAAGTTATGAGCAACGAATTTAGAACACAAATAGAGAGAGGGAATAACAAGTACACTTTCCATTGGGGAATTCACTAAACACAATACGGTATTCAAGATGATAAGAAAGAACCTCAACAAAGGCTGACAAACAACGAGAAAATAAAAATATACTGAAATATAAAATCACATAACTAGGGAAAAAGTAGACAAACTATAGCATGAACATGAATAAACTTTATAACTATTCAAGGTCAAAATCTAGAAGACGACAAAGGATCAATACACCTTCTTTTTACTGTTGAAGCCGAATTTAGGTTGGACAGATTACAATTCGGAGGCCAGTACCTTGTAATACAGACACTCCGACAAACATTAAGTGGCTTTGTCAACTGATTTCGTTATTCAAACCTGTAATAAGTGACGCTGAATGATAAAGTATATCTGACAACGAATCAGAGCTTTCTTAACATTATATATATATCTTGGTGATGAAAACAGAGAACCGATTTCTGCTTAATTTATCTAGTCGGTTTAAATGGTGTTCATAACTTACATATACAACAGATTGACGTTCATGATGTTGAAAGTCCATAAATATCCCTTTACAAAGTCACTCGAAGTCTAGAAAGAGCTAAAATAATTTTCTACGATCGGTATTGTAAGGAGCCCGTCAAGAAAAGTGAAGGATTATACTTCACGCTGAATAATTACCTATATTAATACTGGATTCAGAAGTTTCTAGAAGATCAAGGTCACTAAAGAAACCAACAAACGAATCCAATTTTATGCATATAGATTCAATTTGAATTAAAGCTTTTACTCAAAATTCGCACCTTTTTCCTATTACTCGATTTTACGTATAGATATAGTCTGGAAGGGGGTATTTAGGAAGTCGGCCACAAGTGATTAAGTAGAAGACTTACTGATTTATATAACTAATTACCAGTAAAAAATTCAAATCAAAATACTACCAATCCATGCCATAGATTATCACTATGAACCCGTAAGATAAACCTAGTTGACTTTGTACAATTCCAACTAATCAAAACACTTGTAAGCTATTAGATATATAAGCAAAGATGGATAGTGGCTAGCAGTGAAATCCAGTTTGACGCGCGTTTCCTCCTATTCGGGACTCATTAGCTGGATGTATCTGCATCTCAGAGTTGATGTTCACTCTGGGACTTAAACCCAGTACACCATACGCACAGTATGCATGTATACCAATTAGAGACTGACCAGTTGCAGCCCTAAACATCAATGGGAAGATTCAAACAAACAATACTAATTGAATTTATTATAAATATAATTATTACCTAACATTAACTACAAAAAGCAATCAGAAACAGAAAAGAGACACCATGTTACGTTATCATAATAGTAATATTTGCAAATAATTTTACATTTTCTCTGGAATGCAATAAAACATAAACTGTAATACACCTATAAAACTATGGACAAATATATTAATGAATTTACAAAATTAGGAGAAAAAGAAAACATGAAAATTTATTTATTTATCTATGTTTTTCTCTTTCATTTTTGACAGCAAACTTTTCTCTGTATAAAGAACATTAATTCTATTTTGTAATTCTTTCAACCAACATTGATCCATTTCTTTATAACCTATTAAAATAGGACGTATCGATGAGGATGATGACTGATCAATAGTAGTAGAAGTAGTAGTAGTATTGTTTGATGTATTCTTTTCACATTTTAAAACATTATCATTGCATGTTTGAATTGTAATATTGAATAAACCGCCTAAATGTGATAGAAATGTTTGGAAATTTGTTAATGCTGTACGTAAACGTTGACGATGTTTTTGTGCCTAGTAGTGGAAACAAAAAAAAATAACAATACATAAAGTGATAATACTTAGACAGATGAGTAGTATAAACAGTAGTAGTAACAAGTTGCTTAGAATTATTCTTACATTCATTACTTAGAGAATTGTTTAATAATAATGATAACAAAAATAGGACAATAACTAAAACAAAGGAGTAACATACAAAACACAAACAAACAAGAAAATGAATGATCGTATCAAATGAATAACAAATCTACATAATTATATGTATAGAAATATATCGGCAAGATGAATATAAAGCATGATGATGATGATGATGAGGTGGAGAAGAGAAGGAGAATATACAACAATTTAAGTAAGTAAACTTGACATTTTCTTCCTGCTAAGATCGGTCACGCAATTATTGAAAAATTAAAAACAATAATGACAATAACATTTAGCTAGTTAAGTTAATTTTTCACTCTTTACGCCATCTTTATGCTTAATATTAAAGATAACATGATAATGATGAATGTATAAAATGAAAATAAGTTGTCCTTTTACTCTGTTTTCTTCTCTTTTTTTTTCTCCCTGAGATACATAAAATAGGAACAATGGAAGTCAAGGAATACCCAATTTTCAATAAATCTTGAAATATATACACGTATTTTATTATGATGATTAACTCCACCTGTAGCTCTTTTAGGGCAAATGCCGGTTTAAAATCCGAGTAAAAGAGGAGGGTTGGACATGGGGTCAGCATCTCCATCCCGTAGAAAATAACCTTGCTAAAACAAACACTAACTAAATTATTATTATTATCACTAATAATAATAATAATAATAATAATAATAATGACAGTCCACGACTCACGATATTTTAAACAATTGTAACATTGTGAACAATATTTACTTGAATTTCAAGATGAAGATAAGTTCAACCATTAATGAGAGATTACATAAATCCTGTCTCATTGAGAAGACTCTTTGAAACTGTCGTAATATTATGATAGTTGTATATTAATCATAAAGATAACTTATATTTACTTTTTTAAAATTAACAGATGACTGAGACTAAGAACTTGAGAATCTATATATAAATAAGTAATATTTAATTGAGTTTGTAAGTAATCATTGAGTAACAGATGAAAAATTCATTTTTTTCTTATAATAGTAAGGTTTTAAATTATCCTTTTATTGATATTCCGGACTGAATTCTGATCATTCCTTTCATTATGATGTATGTTGTTTTATGCGAATCGCCTTAACACAGCCATTTTAAACAAAGATTGTTTAAAATAGGTGAATTATGGATAACAGTGTAATTCTAGGAACGTGTATCATCCTATTTGCGACTCGTCAGCTGGATGTACAACAACGGTACAGTTTAAACTCTTGATAATAACTATATAAAGGTCATGTTCTGAAAAAGTCAATAAAGTCATTAGATAAGGTCCTTCATTGAAGACCATACAGAGCTGAACAGAATTTTTACTTTAATCATGATTTCTCTAGCAGTATACGTCTCCACTGCGCCAAGGACCAAAACCAGGGCGATCCATGAACAATTAACTTCCATACTATCGATTTGGAATTCACTGGTCTATAATTCTAATTCCAACCAACCAGTGAAATAGCACAACAATTATACAAACCTATTGGCCCTAACTGCCTTACTTTTCATTACGGACTGACTCTATCAGACCATGTAATTATAACACTTAAAGCTATGAATCCATTAATCTAAGATTTCTATAAATTTGTTTAAATAATCATTTATCCTTTACAGTTTCTTTCCTGGGGTTATCGAGCAAAAATGTAACGTCTCTAAACGATGGTAATATATATATATATATATATATATATATATATATATATATATATATATAGGGAAATAAAAACAGTATCTTGCACTTTATTGTGCATAACACACGTAATGGATGAGAAATATTTATTTTCATATGACTTCCTAATCAAAATCTCTAAAGAATACATATTCAACCGAAAAATTAATGAGATCTGAAACACCCAAAAAGTATATAACAATCTGCAGCAGAATAGCTTATTGATTAAGGGATTCGACTTCAAACCGCTAAGTTACATGTTCGACCCCTTGACAAAAAACATCAGGTTACTAATTACACGATGGTCGAGTTAATTCGCAAGGCTACACTCGTAATTCGTCTTTAAAATACTAATATAAAATGAACATATTAAGATTTCTCAAAAAATAATATCATTGTTGCTACTTGTAGTTAATTCGTTGAAGTTGGATTATAACTTATTACATTATACTGAAAGATGAAGTCTGGTATTTAAAACTAGAATGATTTTAATTGGATGATACGATTCTCGATAGTGATGTGACAGGTTGCAGTGTAGGGATACTATCATCTTTTACCAATGTCCTGATTCACCAATGGATTTAGGTAAGATCGCCCGATCTCACTGTTTCTCTTTGACTTCGTCATCGATGATATTCTGGAAACAGCAATGATTGAAGTATGTGATGGTGTGGGTCTGTTACCTTGAGAGAGACTTTTCAATCTTGAATATGCAAATAATACTGCCCTACAGTGTGATGACACAAATTATGCAAATTCCACATAATCAGTTGGCAATCAGTGGCCGTAAGAGTAACATGGTATCTTATAGGTACAAAGTACTCCTAGATTAATGATAAGGGTATGTGTTTGGAATCACTCTTAGTGGTGATGCATTGGAAGTAGTTAAGGTGTTTGCACATTTGGATAGCTAAGTAGAAAACAGATGAAATAAATCTACGTACACTGAAAACCAGAGTGCCTTATCAGTCTAGGCAGCTGCTTTAGAATCGTCTTTAAGTTTTATTCCATGCATTTGGAACCTAGACTCTTCGAGTTGAGGATGATCAGCGACCCTCTGTGTCCCATCATCGTTGTTTTCCAATGGTTTCTGACATTTAGTCGCAACATCATGTTAGTAACACTGAGTTTTGGTAACGATTATTCTGACGATTCAATTGTTGTAACCATCTTTAAACATCAGCTTCGGATGCCCGAATATGCTTTATACGAATTTCATTTAAGCGGCTTCTAAATCGGGGAACGATTTCCGATTTCGGGACTGGGTAGAAGAAATGGTCATTTTATAACATGGCGTCGGGTTACGGGAGAAAACCGTTTTCCATTATGACTATGTATTTGGGGTACAAGAGATAGCGTGAATGTGTGGATTGAGATGTTATCAAATAAGGCTCAGAATAGAAACCAGTATGGAAGGAAGTCTTTCTTAGTTGTGCATTTTTAAAATAAAGTGTGTTTCTTACTGAATATTTTTATTCCCTCTTGTATTTCCTTATAATCTTATTTACTTGGCTGGTGTAGAGCGTAACTCTGTATAATTAACAAAAATTAAAATGAATTACTGTTTACAACACAATATGAAAATATTTATTTTGTCATAACTCAAACAATAATAACATACAGTCGTTTGTTTTGCTTTGATATGAAACGCTGGAAGATAATCGTTAGAGAACAGGATAACATTAAACTTATAGATAGACTTTTAGTAAAAGGGGAATTGTGGAGATTGTAGAATTTCTAAAGTTTTAGATTACAACTCGGTGGTCTAGAGATTAAATGTCCATGTGCAAGAGACAGAAGGTCCTGAGATCGATCACCAGTGGTGAGGTTCTAATGTGGCCTTTCATCAGACTCCAATTAAATCGTGCTATGATTATCATTGAAATTTGCATTCTGTCTACCATTATATACAATCATCGACTTAACTCGCGTTAGTGAATAATACGTATATTTCGTATGCGCACTGACCTGGATAGACAATCAGGGAAACGCAGAGAAGGGAGAGAAAAGTGAAACAAAATGACGCACAGTGGAGAAGGTGAGTGAACAAACTCTATTTAATCAATCGTGACACGATATTTATAGTCAAACAAAAATAAGTTACACATAACGAATAAGGTGAAAAATTAACACACATACACTCAACTAAAAACCGTTACGGTTAATAAGAGAATAAGTCACAAGGCAAGAAGGTGACTTGAGAAGAATGAATAGATTGGTCTATCTAGAGGCTAGAATAACCTATGTGGGCTTGACATATTACCTGCCCCCACAGTGTCATAGAAATGCACTGATGAGGGTGTAGCGAACAAAACACTAGTTGGGGACAATCGAATGTATTTAAGCAAACATTACAGACTATCTCGGTAAATTCTGATAACCAAACAATGAACAGTCAATTTGCAAATTAATAACCAATTGTTTCAATCTTCACTGTTTCTTCTCTAATTCCATTGCTCATGCATTTTCCAAACGATTGCGCTTCATTTCAGTTCTTTCCTCATCGGTCTTCTGCCAAAATACATTCTATGTCTGACCCACGCCACATACTACTTATATGGATATAAGTAGACAACACCACAAGGGGACTCATGTTAGAATGAAACTCTAGCCAAATACTTTCTACATTCAATGGTGTTCTAGCTAAGATCCGTATGTAATTTGAAAAAATAATAACTTTTCAGTAAAGCATCAAAAACAAGTGTAACAGAATAATATAACAATCATGGAGATAAAATAATGAATGAATTCTTCAGTATACTCTTACAGAAACGTTTTGAAACATTATTAACGAGCAAGAAAAAAACATTTCGAATTATCAGACTAGATGAGAAAGGAAAACAATACTCACCTCTTGAATTGCAAGAGGATTTGAAGAATTCGAGTCAATTTTACTCAATATTCTTAATGATTCACTTTCATTGGGAGTTAGACCAATCCATTCAGTTAGTAAATCCGAAGCGACATCTAGATCAAGAAGTGCACTACCATCTGTAATTCGTACAGCTAGTGTCCATTTAGTACCATGATGGTGTTCCAATGATGACAATAGACTAATAAGTAAACCGCGAATTGTATAAACAGGATTTATGGAAGATGAACTATTATTACTATCTTTTGTTTTAAGTAGTTTGTCATATATATCCTAAAAAGATTAAAACAAAACCTAATCAGTATGAACGAAAATACAAATGAAAGTTTTTATTAGAAAAAGACTAACTATTAAAAAGAAATTCAACCTTAGAATGATTTGAGAGTGTGTAAGGTTAATATGTCCTTTGAGTATATCTGGAAATTAGATGAAAATGGGAAAACACTGAGCAAATGTTTCGTTGCAACACGAGATTTATCAGATATGCGCATCTACAATATGGTTATGCACTGAGTTGAGTTATTAACGTTTTCTAATTTTATGCAATTCGAAATCCGTTGCAAGCAATAGGACATGCGCTCAACGCATTAACTTAGGATTCATCATCCTCATGATATTTCCCTTACATGATAATACAACATGTTCACGAGCATACTTCTTTCTTCAGATAAGTTAATATAAAGACTCACAATATTCTGATAAAAAGCCATCTTGAAACATTTTTAAGATATCGTTTTCTAAAATTTTAATCAAATTCTGTGGGAGTTCGATTTTCGGTAGCTAACCAACTTCATGGATCGGTTTTTGGAGAACTAAATAGTATCATTTACCGATATTTTGTTATGAATAGGTATTAATTCTATCGAAGTATTCAACTACACGACTGAGATAAGCGTGAAATCAAGGTTTAAAGTGACAATTTGTGTAATGAACGATCCTCAACTTGTAAGGTATCGGTTAACGCGTTTGCATATATGAAAAGAAAGACTTCAAAAATGTAAATGACAGCCTGTAGCAGTGACTGAAGTCGATGATAACTATCAATAATTAAAATCTGGACTAAGATCACATAAATTGTTATATCCCCTGGAGAATTATTAATGGTAACTCTAAGGACTATTTATCGACAAATGTATTATGCGTATTTCCTATTGTACAATTGTTACGTAACTAAACTATTCATATTTGTGTTTCTCTTATCATGAGCTTTATTTTGATCTTTGATTTATTATCATACGATTCTTGAGTTATACTCAGTTATTGATTACTTTGGTTTGTATAAAAACCCAGTATGTTTGTAAATAATGATTCATACTACTGAGGCTGTTATTGGTGTTTTGGACTTAACTGGCTGGGCTAGGCAGATCGCAGGACCGGTTAGCACTCTAGTTTGCTCGTACGGGTTTCGTGTGTCACTGTTCCAATCGACAATTCGCTGCTCCCCGATTGGCAGTCGTATCACGTCATACATTAGCAAGTCACCCACTCGGCCACAGATATAACATAAATAAAGAAGTTATCAAGTTTAAACGAAAATTTGAGGAATACATAAAAATGGAAATAACAGTTACAATGGTTGAGAGAATGTAATTAGAATAATAAATGCAGTAAATGTCATTAGTTAATATAAATACATTAGGATATTACACAATACCACGAATTATCTCAACTGATTACTGAATATTAGCAAGTAGTATAGAGCGATGTGCAAAAAACGAGATGAGAACAAAAGATTTATAGCTCAGATTTTTTAATGTGATGATTAACGTGATAAGCTGACTTCATTCAAATGAACATTTAGATATAGGGAGCATTAGATAGATGCTGCGTCTTCACACGGGAGACTGATGGCCGTAATCACCTATAAATCAGCTATAAGACCAGGAACTTTTAAGTTAGTTACTCATGAAGATAATTGATAATCTTTAAGAGTAACATTGTGAATTGATCGGAGTTAAAAATGTGAACCACTGATTCATGTGATGACTGAAGATCTTCATCTCAACGCTGTACTAGTTCATTAGTGAGAAAAACTGAGCAGTCCTAAATTAGGACGAGGATCACATGACTTCAGGATTATCAAAGCATTAAGACTAAAGGGAATACGATGAAGGTTATCCAGTGCTACGCACCGATCAGTGAAAGTAGCAAAGACAAAGACCAGTTTTATGAGTGGCCAAGAAAAAACCTAACCATCTTGATGGGGTACCTAAATGCCGAAGTCGAAATAGACCGCGCTAAGCATGAACGCACTATGAAGCAACATGAACTGGGAGAAAGTAACTAGAATGGAGAGATTGGTAAATCTGTGTATTTTCAACAATATGGTTATAGACAGAAACATTTCCGTCCGCAAACCTATATATAAAACCACACACATTTCACTAAACCACACTACAGAAAACAAGATCGATCCCATCTCCATCAATAGAAACCAAGAAGGTCCATGAAAGAAGAACAAAGAGATAAGCTGATATAGCTTCAGATCAACTCCACGGTTAGATTATATGCGGGAAAACGAGGATACTTGTAGAGTCACATAAGATCTTGGGCTTCTAGAAATGTCTGAGGCAACACAAAATATAGTAGCGGTATAAGTAAACATCCATAATTTTGCATTTTATAGATGCACCTGCGAAGATTCTATTCAACGCTGATTACGTGAAACGCTTCCTGGCCATTATGGGCCTCTAGGGATCTTAAAGAAGTAAACCTTGAGACTCCTCCAGCAAGACGTGCAGGTTTCCATCAGAAGAATGATTATATAACCTTATACATGTTAAAAATATTAGTTGGATACATCACTTAAAACTAAGGGAATAATCAGATATTTTTGTTTAAGTGAACATTTGTTCGTAAAAGACACCGTCAAATGGTTAACGAGAAATATAAATTGTTTAACATTTGACAAGTACTTTAATAACCAAACTGATTTTCATTAACCTTCTTATTCTTTTCTTCAAACAACACTAGAAGGAAAGTAAATCACTTCAACAATTTTTCTTTTCGACTTATTATTGGTCTAAACTATCCGACTGATCAACATATTTTTGAGTTAAGTCATCATCACAACTTAATACAAGATATTGCTTTCAACACAAGCTTTACCTTATTATGTTTACTCGTTAAAGTTCGTAACATGTTAGGATGAAGATTGTTTTCTAAAGATTGAACTAACTGATTCGAGATAAAACGAATTTGAAACAAAATGTTAACAAATGATAATTGAGTAATGATTTTACGAGGTATACGATAGCTTCAATTAGCCACTGAACATTTTATGAAAGTGTAAAATATAAATTTTAGACTGTTTGTTACGTAATTGTATCTGAAGGTGGTTAAGTAGTTAAGCTACCAAGCTTCCATCTTGTGGATCGCTAGTTTTACCCCATAATTCACCAACTTTGGTTTCACTAGGCAGGTAGTCGAATTAGCTATCACAAACAACATGACTCAGAATTGAGTACATAGCCGAATAGTAGATAAATGAGTTGCAATAATTAATCAATTTTAACGCTGAGGGATTTCATATTAAGATAAAACAGTCATTTAGCGCTCTGCGGTTTCCAATAATTTAAAATGAGATTAATCTTCACTAGATGTCAAATCAGCCTTGAAATTCTGAAAGAAAAGACAGAAATGTGTAAGGGGGAATTAGTCATAACTCACTTGAATATAACAAAATGGATGGAAATGATAGTCAGTTTTCAATGAACTGGATGGAAGTTGTTTACTACTAACCATGTATTTATCATGATTATTTTCTGTAGTCATTGGAAAAACTTGATCGTTAGATGAAGACGCAAACTGTAGTATATTTTTAGATTTACTATTACTTGCAATAGAACTGTTTGTTTGTTTGAATTCCAATGTTTTACGTTTAGGCACTGGTGGCAGAAGATCTTCACTGTTGTCGATGTTAGTTTGTACTTTTATGATATCTGATTTTACTGGTTCTGGTGAGAATGCTTCAGTCGGTTGTGGTTTAGACGAAGAAGAAGAAGGGAGCGATGGATTATCATTCGCTTTGTTCACTAATCGACTGCGTGATTGTAGCATTAATAAAGTTTGTTTCAAACTTTGTTTTGATTCTATTAGTGATTTTTTCGGTTTACTTAATGCACAACTTTTTGTCATTAAAGTCGATGATAACGTTGACGAAGTCGTTGTTTCGAATACTTTTTTATTGGATTGGAAAACTCGCATTTCATTCCCTTTTAACTGATTAGTTTTGGGAAAATTCGTAGAATTCATTGATTGTTGTTCGTCTATTTCAGCTAAAGCAGAGGCCAATATATCTGGATCGACTTGATCTTCTAAAAATGGATCATCGCTATCAAGAGAAACATTATTCTCGCCCTCATCAACAATCCTGTGAGTTTGTTGAAGACAACTAGATCTAGATTCGTTTGACGATCGCTCTCCTTCATCAGATGTAACACTTGCTGGTAAACGAAGTGGATCATTGAACGAATGAACGGAACTTCGTGAAATCGATACACCTAAAAATAATCATTATAAAAAATATTAATTTGATATTCGTTATGTGTGTTAAACTAGTCTCCAAGTTAAAATAAAAATGATAGCTAGAACAAAAGCAAGTTGGAAGACGACTGGGGTGTAGTCAAACCACAAAATTCCGAAGGCCGTTTACATAAAAAATTCCTGAGCGGGTCATTCGGACATGATGGAATATGAATCTATTTAGCTATGACAAGTGATCAAAAGTTTTCTCCTAAAATTTCTCTTTAGGCAAGGCCAAGTGTAGACGAGAAAGCAGTTGCGATGGTCTTTTAAAATATGCTTATTTATAAGTAGTATTTAATGTAAAGTTGAAATGAATGTACAAAGTAATAACAAAACCTTCAAAATTGTTTTACCTTAAAGTTTATTGATTCATGTGATATTATATAGTTTTAAATCAATTCAAGAAATGAATTAAATGCTGATTTCAGGTCATTTAAAAGAATTATTAGAGGGGAAATATTTACTGATAGTCACAAAGTTAACTAACATGCAGAGTCTTCTGACCACTATAAGCAACAATGCAGACATGTTCGGGATGCGATTCTCTCCCTCGAAGTGCAAAATGTTACTTCAGGATTGCGTTGCAGCGACACCTGAACTAATGATAGGGAGTGAAGTAGTTGAGCGTGTAGACCACTTCACTTATCTTGGAAGTCTCATCAGCCCTTATGGTCTGGTATGTGACGAAATCTCAGCACGGATACAGAAGGCTCGTCTAGCTTTCGCCAACTTGCGTCATTTATGGCGTAGGCGAGATATCCGTCTAGCAACCAAAGGACGGGTTTACTGTGCAGCAGTTCGCTCCGTCCTACTTTATGGCAGTGAAACATGGCCAATAAGAGTAGAGGATATTCGTAGGCTACTAGTGTTCGATCATAGGTGTCTTCGAAGCATTGCTCGTATATCCTGGGACCACCGGGTAAGTAATGCAGTTGTTAGGAAACGAGTACTAGGTAGGGATGGCAAATCGATTGATGAAGTAGTGAAACTTCATCAGTTGAGATGGCTGGGACATGTGTTACGTATGCCCGACCACCGACTGCCCCGACGTCCAATGTTTCATGGTGTAGGAGTAGGTTGGAAGAAAGCTAGGGGTGGCCAGACCAAAACGTGGCACAAATCAATGAAGTCACTGACAAGTGGACTGGGCCATGTTGGTAGGTGTAGACTACCTGGTTGGGATTCGCGAGATGACAGCAACCGATGGTTAGAGACCTTGAATGACATGGCTCAAAATCGTTTGCAATGGCGAAGATGTATCCACTCTTTGTGTTCTACCAAATTTTAATCTTCTGAATTCCTCATGTCTTTATCTTTTTCTCTTTCCAAATTTATTTCACTGTACTATACTCCTTCAATAATTTCTTCAAACCCTAATCTTTTGGATTTCTGATTATACTCCTACTACTTCTATCACTATGGGATTTGAATCGACAACTGCATCTCTGTGCTAATGTGGTATGGCAACTCGAACTGATGTACGTACGTACGAAGTTCTACGTTGTGACTGACTGACAAAGTTAAATAATAAAAATTTTCATAGTTTAAGTCACGAACTGTTCTTAGCCAGATCACCAATTAAAACCAGAAAGTATTGGACAACCATTCCGTTCTAGTACGGGACTACCCAGCAGTACGCACCCAAGGTTAAATGTTCGTCCGTGAGACTAAAGGTCTTGGATTCAATTTCTTGCGGTGAAGTTGTAGATGAGTACCGATGAAGAGTCCCGTAGTAGGATGAAGCAGTTATGAAGTACTTCATAGTTCTTATTGATGGCCTGAATTAAATTAGTTGGTGATTTAGACGATGGAAACCTGCAACCTCCTCCAAGTCCCGTATAGTAATAATAAGAGCTTGTTTGAACTTAGTAATTCCCTTATGTATCACTAGAAATCGGTATGTATTGTTCTTCGCAATGAAAATTATCAGTTTTAGTGTAATAAATGAGAACACGAGTGGGGACAATCGAATGTATTTGAACACAAAACTACAGAACGTCTTAGTAAAATCTGAGAACCGTACAGTAAATACTTAATTTGCAAAATGTTAATCAATTGTCTCAAACTTGACTATTCCTTTTGCAAATATCAGTCAATCGTCTCAGACTCTATTGTTCCTTCATTTCTATACCAATCATTCTCTATTCTCGTTCACTTTCCATCGGTCTTTTTAACCTTCTACCGCCAGGCATTTCACTATCGATTGATGATACTACTTAATGTCCGTCGATATCGGTAGCACACACCAAAGTCGGAAAAATTTAATGAACTTAACTATTGTTAGAAGATATCTGTGATCGCTCAAAAAAATCGCCTTAGAATGGGACTCTCTTCAGGATTGTCTACCTACAACCCTCTCCAAATCTGAAGGTTAAGTGCTTCCCATAAGGCCTAAATGTCCTAGACTCAATACTTGATGTGGTTGTGAATATCTACTGCTGAGAAGTCCCATACTAAAACCAAAAACCTGTCTAGCGCTTACTAGTTTCTAACGTCTGCTTAATTAAAGTAAGTCTGTGATAACAAACTCTAAATTTAATAATCTCCACAAAAGTTATTATTACAAAAATTTATAGACTTAAAAATAGCCTTACCACATTTATTAGAATCTAACTGTTTCTCCATAGATTGAGCAGCATGACTCAATATTGCATCATCGAATATTTCATCATCCCATAATTCTGGAGAAACGCTACCACTGCCACCGACGCCGCCCCTATCACCAGTAGAAACAGTACCCAATGGGAAACGAACAGAACTTAGTGGATCTCTGCCATTTCCACTGTTAGTAATGTTATTATTACGGTTTTGTTGAACGTCTGCTACATAATCAGACTGTTCACTAGGCACTTCTAGATTTGGTAACGGATTATCACCAGCTGAGCTGTGTAACTGTCTAGATGATATACGAGGAAACCAGGATGGCAAGCTGTTATTTCCAGTTAATGGTATATTCAATTTATTAGCCAATAGTTTGCCAACTTCATACATAGTATTTTCTTCATAGTTTTCTAAGAGTTCATCAACCTGTAAATAGTAAAAAGCAAATAAATACAGCATCATTTTACGTATTCATAATTTATTTTTATTACCACATTATAGTTGAAGAGTATTTAAAACGATAATGACTGCAAAAAAATAAATAAATAGTGGACATTACAAATTTAAATGAAGTCACAATTATAAAAAAATATGTACATAAGTTGGGTATTTAAGTTCAATATGGATTTCCGCTATCAGAAATAGTCATTTGATAATTAAATCTAACAGTAAATGTAGTTAAAAATGTAAACCGATTGATTTCTACTCAGAAGTCGGAGGATGATACGCTCGACGAGGAACCTGAGAATTCTGGTTTTTATCAGTGACGTGGTTGCGAATCTACTTTTTTGAAGAATCTCACAGCACAATGAAACGTTAATTGAGTATCCCCCTGTTTTTAATGTCCAAAAACCTCATTCAAATTATACAAACTATTTGTTATTCCTATTCACAACTGGGGATAAAGGAATGATGTGATTTAATGAACTTTAGTGTAGATTCATGTACTATGCTTCAGAATCTCAGACCTATTGTTTGAAGTTTAATGGTTTTACTGTACTATGAGACTCGAACCTGTGGCCAAACTATCGTTTAAATGAGGAGCATAGAGCGAATTTTAAATGCAACGTAAATTTCTAAACGTTTGAAAATTACCAACAATTCAATAAGAATGTGATTTTTAAAAATGTTATTTATCAGTAAAAGCTGACACTTGTCACTTTTGAATCATGATCTGAACTTCCAAAAAATAATAACGAAGTAACCCTACATTAACAACATATCTTAGCCAATCAATCAAAGAAGTAAATCAAGATAATGGGTAAGCAAAGAAAACTAAACTAGCTAATATCACGATGTAAAAATTATGGCTAAGTATTATTGATTAAAGTATTTAACTTACAATCAGTAAAACTCAATTTCAAACTCTATCCTACCTACCTTAGTTCGGAAATTCCAGTAATATATATATCAGGACTTAAGTTAATTATCTATACTTAGTAAACAAGTTGCAGTACTTATTAAACACCATTATAATACTCGCAACAATAAAAAGAAAAGATTAGTGTACAAAAAATCATTATTAGTTGTTATAACGATTGATGTGACGTTATAAGACCGCCAATTAGAGAGCGGCGAATTATCGATCAGAGCAGTGACACACGAAAACCGTATGAGCAGTCTAGAGTACTTATCGGTCCTGCTTTCTTCCTAGATCAGCCAGTTAAGTCCAGAATATCAATGACAACCTCTGCAATACGTATCATTATTCTCAAACATACTGGGTTTATATACCAATAAAACAGATCATATCATACCATAAAATAGAAAATAAAATTTGTACAAGATTTAGCCAAATGTGGCTATGAATAGGGGGAACAGTAATTAATAGACTGGGGATAACTCAGGAATCGTAAATCATATAATAATAGTCTATGGGTCAAAATGAAGCTTATAACAAAAGGAACATGAATATGAATAGTTTAGTTACTTAGCAATTATACAATAGGAAATATACACATCAAATTGGTCCATGAATAGTTCTCAAAGTTACCATTCATAAATCTCCACGGGATATAAAATTAGTATTATATAATGGATAAATATAAATAGTTGAAACTTTTCTCTATAGAACCTAATCAACACAATTGATGAATAAATTACAAATGAAATAATCTATTCAATAGTTAAATGAAAATGCATAGAGATGTATCATAAAAAAAGAAAAGAAACAAAAACGAATAGTCCATCATAATTTCAATGATGGAAATAAATTTTGACGATGTCGTTCAAAAGGACGATGAAAGATCCACAACCAAACCATCCAGCTCACAAAACAAAACTCTATCAAAATAAACATTTTTGTATAAATATGCTTTAAAAAAACTATTTAATTGAAGAAAACAAATCAAATCATATTCCTTAGAGAACTAATCAGGTATAAGATAAAAGGTCTCTAATTTTGGAGCGAAATTCACTCATCCACCTGGCTAAAGAAAGTTTTGGCATTACAACTAATGTCAGTTCGTGATGAAAACCCTAAATTTAATTCCTAACCTTAACTATCAACTGTAGATCATAATTCTAGTTCTTCACACGGGTTTACAACCCTCATTTGCCATAGTTATAAGTGGACATTCTTACGGTTAGTCTATAGCTGCTCAAATGTTGTCCATAAATTATAGTCTTATCCTGAAAAGATCTAAATGTAGATACTGTCACCAATATAACAGTCGCTAGCTGTACAAAATAAAGGTAAACGAAAGTGTCGCTTGACATTCCTTGTTTCTATAAATCGTTACAACTTATACGTATATTTACCGCATGCGTGTTTTTTTAGTTATTTAAGTTAACGAGAATGTTAATTCAAATAGATATTCATTTATATATTTAACAAATAATTGTAAAATACTCTAATCAGATAAAATAGGGATGAAATATACATATTTGATATGATTCTTGAATTTATTGGATAGAAATGATAAAGGTTTCGAGATGGGGGAGAAGATTTGTAACTTAGGTGGATGATTTTGATGAGTTTTGTTCTCTGAGCTGGATGGTTTGGTCAAGGAGCTTTCATCGTCCTTCTGAAGGACATCATCAGCACAAACTTCGAGTAGAAGTGAAGTGTTTGAATTTCTCCATATGTGGTTCACAGCTTGTCCTGTGCACTTCGATGTTGATTAGTTCTTGTTGACCTTGAATTTGTCATTGTTTACTTCTTTGTTTTGGTTGTATCTCCCATTTCAACTATTCGTTTTATCCATGATTTATTCAAGTAGTATTGTAGTGATCAGAAACTCACGTCTGATAAACTAATTTATTATCTAATACAGAATTACACTGTGGCTTAGTAAAATATGTAAATCATACATTGAATATGTCATTTGCATATCTTCCTTCAGTTGCCCTTTACATACTTTATCATTCCTCCGATCCTGTTCTCATTCCGATTGTTTTCCGTTTTCCTTCCTCTCCTCCTTATTTCACTCTTCTGTTGGTAAGCATCGAACTTCCAATTCCTGCTATATACTGCTTATATTTGTCACACCACAGTATCATAATGTACAGTGTTTATGTTTCAGTGTGTATTTTAATCAGACGATTTTCAACAAATATTCGATTTTAAGTATGGGAGGATTTGTGGAGATTGTAGAATATTCATCGCTTAAGACACGAGCTGATCTCAGCTAAACTACCATTCAAAACCTGGACGGCTCTCTCTTCCTAGTATTGGATTCATTATCAATTCACATCTTCGACTCGAATCTAAAACCTACGGTCTCGTGTGCCAATGCTTAACCTAATGACTACTGAATCGACATCCAACGGTGTACATGTCTAGAATCAATCAACTCAACATGTTCCACAACTTTCTTACACATGACATGGTTGAACTCCACTAGCCACAGCTTCTCACTATTACTCCGAGAATTCCATTCTAAAGCTTTTCACTTGTGAGTATATGATTACTATTAATACAGAGGAAATTTGCAGAGATTGTTGAATGTTCATAGTTTAAACCACCAATTAATCTACTGAGAAATCCTATACTAGGGAGAAACGTTCATCCAGTCCTTTCAGTAATGATTTTGGCTAAGATCATTTCATGATTAAAGCCATGCAAATATTTATTTTTATGTAAATGAATCACGAACAATTAAAAAAGAGGATGATCATATTCATTTTATCTATTCTTCAACGAAATATCTCTCAGACAATAAATGACTACGTGTATGTGTACTCCTCTTAACAAAATTGTTTATTTTTAAATAAAAATTAATGTGAATTAATAAACACTGTAGAACTTCAAAGAAGTCACACATACTTTATTTCTCCCCATATTTTAAACACTTTTCCCACCCACATTGATTTTATTAAGAGACTATAAGTTTTGTTTGCGTTTGGAAAACAATTCAGCTGAGCAATCACATAGCACAATCATTACAACACTTTCCACTATTGAGAAGTTCAATGTTGAAATGCAAGAGAGCAACAGAACAAAATCACCTCAACACAGAGCATAATTTATGACGTAATCAACCATGAAATTCCCAATTCCTTTTTCATGATGTTGATTTTCCCTGTTGTACACCTTTTTTTATCTAAATATGATATTGTCTCAATGGATATTTATTTTCTCATAAATTTTACATGTTTCCTTCTGATTTTCATGCTGGGTAATTGTTTACACATGTGTTCTCTTTCTCTTCTTAACAATTTAATCATTCAAAGAATAATGAAATAACAACCATAAATATAGTTTTACATAGTTTATTGTATTGAATTTAACTGTATATTCAATGTTATTTTTATGTTTCATTGTTCATTTCTCTGGTTTTTTTTAAACAGGTCATACGCCCATATGTTGTCGATATTTTCCCATCAGACAAAAATGACAATGATTAGGTTTGTCCTTATTTATTTATTTAAACACATGAGCAATGGTACAAGGGGGCACTAGTTATATATGCGCCATACAGAAATTGTCATTCCATTTTAATTGTGAGGGCAGTGATACTGCCCGGATGTCCAAACCGAAACAGGTGGTTTTTTTAGGGGGGGCACATCCCGAGCCTTTGACCTAGAAGTCTAATCCACAAGGCAGCAAAGCAACGTAATGAGATGCGGTCACACGGTAGCCGGTGACCAACAATACATTCATATGACATTTGTTCCCTCAGAGTACTGGAGCCCATGTGCACCACTGGTTTTGAATCAAGGTTTCCCAACTCCCTAGGTGGATCCTCCATATACCCCAATCGGGTTAAGGCTCCAGACATGGACTTTTCGTCCTCTTACTTTCGTAAACAACACCCCATCCGCGAAAAGGCAGTGAGTAAGACTTCCTTGGCAGTGGCTATATACGCGTGGCCGAATGAGAGCATTTCTAGAGAGAGCGCGGGCTCTTTCCACTCTCGGCCGTACCAGGGCATTTGCTACTTATATCGCTCTCTGATTTTCTTATCGTTCTCTTTATATCAACC